CTGGCCTTAATTATTGAATGAATATAAATGAAAAACAGTACAGTTATTTGTATAATAGATAATTAATTAAAACAGAATATATATTATACCTTTTTAAAATTTTCGGCAACAGTATGTTTCTCTTCTGAAGTAAGTGGGAATGTAATTATGTCTTTAGATATATCGTACAGAAAATCCATCACCCTTTGCAGCACACATTCACAAGTTGAGATGCTTACATCAAACCGATCTCCTACTTGCCGAAGCGAGCATTTGTTTCCCGTAAACCTTGAAAATAAAAAGAAATTGTCGTTTATTTTAAGAAAATAAACAATTTATGTATGTAAGCTACATACATGGAAAATGTCAATAGAAACGATATCAGAAAGAACATCGCTTAGAAAAATTATTTATTAATTTAATTAAATCATTAAGGCTAAGAACTCACGAGTCACGAAAAGAATCAATGTCTATGGATGTTAATTTCTTCAATTCATTTTCTTTTATATTAAATTACTATTATTATTACACTAACCATAAAAAATTACTATTATTACACTAACCATATAAACAATAACACATGTTTTTCTGCTGATGAAATTGGCGTTCCACCATGAGACCTGTCACTCGGATAGAATGTTGATCTTTCGAATTTCTCAATTATTTCGTAGCACGTCTCCCGTGACATTCGGAAATGACTTTTAAACTGTAAGTAAACATTTTCTGTATAATAAAATTCACATTAATAGTAAACTTAACCTACAAAACTCACCGTTTTATCGGACATTTTTCGCACAACCTCTTCTATGTAATTTTTCACTTTCGCTCTGTCTTTCTTTACGTTGTACTACATCCAAATACATTAATTCGTCTTCATAACTTGATGACGATGATGTTAATAATTCCATTAACACAAATAAATCACTCATCATGATAGTTCACCCACCGACGAGATAAGGCTGACCGTCTTTTATAATAGTAGCTTCTTGTCGGTAGTTTCACCTAAATTACCACCAATGTTATCGACAATTACCGATTACACTAACTGGCTCCAACAAATTTGTGAGAGCCACTTTGTGTACACCCAACATGCACCTGTGCGGTGTACTGAGCCCAGACGAATACGCAGCTCCAGTGAGGGACTGCACCATTCGACCAGCCGAACATACGACACCCAAAATGTGCAATCGGTGCAGACCAGCCGAAATCGCTATAAAAAATCTGAAACTTTCCAGAAATATAATACATATTTATAAACCTAATCAAAAAGCTATTTTTTGTTTTGGCTAGAAAACTGTTATAAAGATAGAAGTACCCTTCAAAAAAAATCTTAATATTTTCGTGAAACCATAAAAGATATTAAAAAAATGTTAAATACAGAATGTTAATGGTTACTGTATTGAGATATCAATTAACAATATACAATACATAATTAAGTCACATTTTTATTTTTTATTATATAAAACTTCATAAAATATAAATTATGTAAAACGCTTATATTTTATTATTTACATATTATTTATAGATATTAACACTATAAAGAAAATTAATTTAATACAAACACAAAAAACAAAAAATGGAATATTATATCAAACAGACATTAAACATTACATATTAAACATTATCTTGATAGACATTAATTAATAATTTAATATATGTCTTAACGTCTTTATCTTTGATTAATCCAAAAGATTTATCGTTTTTCCATGAAAATTGGTTTCGAATTTGTTAATTTCCAAAACAAAACGTTATGTTATAAACCTACAGAAAAATTCAATATCACAATAATTAAAACAAGAGCTTAAAGCCTCTAACTAGATGTAAAAAGTAGCAATCGTTAAATTTTGCTTCTCTTTATTCTTCAAACGTTTTGATCCATCTTTATAACCATCTCCAATGTTTTATAAATGTTGACGGATTAGCCATTGGACAAATAACAAATTCGTGGGATTCGATCATTTTACAACTCCAAGTTCAGTCAAATTGTGTTGTGTCATAAAATAAAAAATTAAGTAAATGTGCTGTAAAATTTGCAAAAAAATTACATTATCAAATTGTATTTTGTTCAATATTTTATAATCTATTTTCTTGTAGATGTTGCTATTATCATTAGCGGGCGATTCGCTCGATTGATTAAAAAAAAAAAAAAAAATTTATATAACTGCTACTTGTCACATCTTGCTAATTAGTCTTCAAGCTCTTTTTTTTATTCTTGTGTCATTAATTGTATAATTAAACGAACTTACAGTGAAGTTCGATTTCAATTATGCTGTCTCGTCCGGATGGATTTAATTGTAGTAGCGTTCTGCCGCGCTATCCTCAACAGGACTTTATCTGAAAGTTTAAAGAGCGCGCTGCCCCACCTACAACCGTCATTAGTTTAAAGATAACAAATCTGAAAAAATTTGGGATAAGGGCGGGTGGGATTCTCCATCCGGACGAGACAGCATAATTGAAATCGAACTTCACTGTAAGTTCGTTTAATTATACAATTATGCAACGTCTCGTCTGGATGGATTTAATTGTAGATATTCAAAGCTTAGATTTGTTACAGAAAAAAGTTTTATTTCGTTCATAACTCAACCATAGAGGATTAACTGAGTTAAAAAGTAAATAAATCATTGAGATCATAACTTCAAGCATAAGAAAATATGAGCCAGGATACATACCATATAGAGAACAATATGTCAAGGCATTGGGATAATGCATAACGTTAAGTAAAATGAATTATGTGCTTACAAGGCATGAAAATAGAACGTTATATATATATAAAAAAAAAAAATGTGAAATAGAGTACGCAACCAAACAGCAATAATACGCTGAGGCGTTAACATAAAGCGTAACATTAAGTAAAATAAATGTAATCAAGTATTAGACTCTATTTAAAATCGTATCTTGCAATCTAGCGCCCGTGAGTATCGGGCGATTATAAAAGTGTGCAAAGACGTTCGATGATCTACTCCAACCAGCTGTACGCCTGATCTCGTCCAAGCTAATCCCCCTGCTTGCCGCGAGAGATGTTGAAGCATGACGGGTCGAGTGTGCAGAGAAGACATTTGTGTCAATGCCTGCTGCACCGAGCTCCATTTTTACCCATCGGGCTAATGTTTGAGCCGAAACTGGACTCTGGGGGGCCCGAAAGGAGATAAATAGAGATCTGCAACTCTCTTTACGAAGATCCGCAGTAGAACTAAGATAAACTCGCATTAAGGTAAAAATGCAGAGCTCCGGCTTATTCAAAAAGGGTTTGAATGAGAGCAGTGGTTGAGATCTCCCGATCCCAGAGGTCTTTAAATGAGAGGGAATCTTGATAATCAAGGAATTAGAAAAATGAATATTAGAAATTTGGATGGCTGCAAGGGTCTGCATCCTCTGTGCAGTAGTAAGTGCAAGGAGAGTAATAAGCTTCCTTGATAAAAGCTCCAATGAAAGATCCTCGTGAGGATATAAAGTGGCCAAATGGTCTATTACTGGGGAAGGATCCCATACATAATCATAACGTGGGCGTTGAGGCTTCAAGGTTGCAACACCCTTAAAGAACCTCTTAACGAGAGAATGAGAGCCTATTTCGTCGAAAGAAATAAGCGAAATAGCTAAACGGTAAGTGTTCAGAGAAGCATAAGAGCCCACTTTTGTAAGGCACGAAGAGAGAAAATCTAAAAAAGAGGCCACTGATGGGGCGAAAAAAACTAATTTTTCTCTCCTTGCAAAAAAGCCACCAAAGCTTAATGGGCTTTGCATATTGGGCTATTGTAGCTTCCGAGAGAGAGGCGAGGGTTGTGACTAGTGCCTGTCTTGAAATCCCTTTGCGTAAAAACGCCTGCCGGATAACCTTGCGGCAACCAGGGAAATCCTGCTCCAAGCTGGGTGAACATTCCTGAAAGAAAACGATAACATATTAATGTCTGGATCGAAACGAATCGGTTGATCTATCATGATTTGATTAAATAAAGGGAACCATGGTTGAGCTGGCCACCAAGGCACAACAACCACCCCCTCCGCCTTATCGGTGATAATTTTGCGCAGAGCCTTTAGAATTAAGATAAAAGGAGGGAAAGCATAAAAATAAAATTTACTCCAATCTAGAGAAAATGCATCAACTGCTTCCGCGAGAGGATCCGGAAGCCATGAAATAAAACGAGGGCATTTACTGTTGATAGCTGAAGCAAAGAGATCAATATCAAAATGCCCGAAATAACGATCGATCGTATTAAAATAGTCTTGACTCAGAGACCACTCCGTTTCCTCTGAAACAAAGCGCGATTCGGCATCTGCCTCTATGTTCTGAGCTGAGGGAATATATGAGGCATAAATAAATATATTCCTGTCTGCACACTAAGTCCAGATCTCGCGGGCGAGATTGGATAATCGAGGAAATTTTACTGAGCCCATACGGTTGATGTAGGACAGGGCGGTAGAGTTGTCAACTCTTAGAAGGATCTCGGAGTTTCTCAAATGAGACGCAAAGCATCTCAAAGCATGAAATACGGCTAAAAGTTCTAAATAATTAATGTGAAACTGCTTCTCGTCCGATGACCAGAATCCATGAGTACGCCTTGCGCCATATACGGCTCCCCAGCCTGTAAGAGATGCGTCCGAGAAAATCTCAAGGGCAAAGAGACCTGATCTGGGGTTCCTTTGAGATTTATCCGAGGAAATAGTCTTCCACCATAAAAGATCCTCTCTGATCGATGAAGGGAGGGACATCTGAGCCTCAAAATCATCTTTCGCAGATGTGAGAGCTAAAAATTTCTCTCTTTCTATTATTTTTGTGTGTAGCATGCCATATTGAACTGCTGGGCAAATCGATGTTAAAGAGCCTATATAGCTGGCTAAATGCCGAAGTTTTCAACGGCTTTTGGTAAGCATGTCCATAGTACTTTGATGTAAGTTTTCTCTTCTGTCCGAAGGGATGGAAACTGCAAATAAGTTAGTATTAAATATAAAACCTAAAAAACGACAAGAAGTCGACGGGATAATAACGCTCTTGCTTCTGTTTATAAGAAAACCTAAGGATGATAAAAGCTTTATTGTTGTGTTGATATTTTTTAGGCACTGACCATACGAAGGCGCAACTAGGAGAAAATCGCCCAGGTAAACTACAGAAAAGAAACCCCTCTCCCTTAGGGAGTAAACAACCGGTTTTAAAATTTTCGTAAATGTATAAGGAGCTGAAGCGAGGCCAAAAGGTAAGACTCTAAACTGATAGAGTTGGCCTAAAAAACGAAAACGCAAGAATTTTCTATCCTCCTGGTGAACAGGCACAAGAAGATAGGCATCTTTTAAATCAATAGAAGCCAGGTAATCGCCCGGTGAAATGAGACGAATTACGGTTTTCCAATCTTCCAGCTTGAAATGTGGAGCCACGATAAAACGATTTAAACGTTTTAGATTTAGAATAAATCTCCAACCACCTGAAGATTTTTCAATAACAAAGAATGAGGACAGGAATTGGTCCCCACAGTCTACAGCCGGCTCGATCGCTCCCTTAGATAAAAGCCTACAGATCTCTTGAGAACAGATCTGTTCTTCAAGACTGGACAGGCGAACAGAGAGCTCATAGGTCTGAGGGGGCGGTTGTTGAATAAAAGGCAGCCTATAGCCTGTGATAGCCTCTAAGATCCTTGGATCTGATGAAATTTCCTTCCAGTTGGAAAAGAAAAAGGCTAGTCTACCGCCAACAATTACCTCTTCGCTGCTCAGCGCCTCCTCGCCCTCGATTGGAATCTGGTCCGGTATGATCGGCGGCTTTCGTTTGCCCCTGGTCTCCTTGTCGCCGTTCTTGGGCGAGACGCAGGGGCTCGGGTGTTTCCCGACTTAGTAGGGGCCACCTGTAACGGCTGCGTGATAGGTTGTTGCAGCCTTCTAGACGGCTGCAGTGGAGGTCTGATAATTTCTTTGAATGATCTTTGCATGGAGGCTGCTTTCTTTATTTGCTCACCGAAAGAAGAGCCGAAGAGGAGTTCATCTGACGGAATGGCATCCGCAGTGCTCTTGGTAATGATATTAAGGGCAGGCGTGATTTGTGCCCGCCTGGTCCGAGACAGCTGGTGAAAAAGATCAGCCAGGATCTTGGCACCGTCATTGACTTTAGCCACTGCTAAGCGAGCCTCGGAGCTGAGAAACTTCTGCGTTGTCGGCCTGAGGAAGTCAGAAATGACCTCGCCGAAGGCACAGAGGGCCATACCCACTTGGTCCTGATTCTTACAGACAAAATCGTCCCTTTTGAGCATCGAATTACTCTTAAGGGCCACCCGACATTCTTGGTTCAATGTCGGTGCCTTGAGAAATGCCACCGCCTCTGGAGGGGAGCACTTTTTTAAAAGTGGCTCACGCTGATCTGTGGGTACCACCGCACGTTAAGTCACGCCATTTTTGAGTCACAATTTCGTCCCAGGGTGAAACTACTTCACTAATTTGGTCTCCAAAAAGTTGTCTAATCAGGGAGACGGAGTCGTCTTCGCTTGAGGCCTCGATATCAGGTAATGGGCTATCTAGCATTGAGACATGCTTAGGTTGCGTAGGGAGTGTGTTACCCTCGCCTGTGTCATTTACCACTGGAGAAGAACATAGAGATCCGTGATTATGAGAGAAAAAACAGGTCATGTCGTCATGTCGCCCGCATTTCGCAAATGCGGATCCAGCAGTATTCATACACACCTGGTGGGTCCGCTAAAACCGCCTGAGGGGTTAACCGCCTTGGATCTGTATCCAAGCGAGATCTATTCAGAAAAGGCGAATTTGTCTCAGTGCGTGACCCATGGTTCATCTGCGGAGATGCAGGAAGGACAGTAAGCTGCGGGGAGGGGCGACGGGGCGCCTTAACCTCGCTTTGCGAGAGGATGTCAATTAAACGTGACATTTTCTCCTCTAGACCTGCAATCCGGTCGGTGGATGGAGACCTCCTTCTCTTTCTAGATTTATGGGATGATTTTCCCATCGCTGAGAAATCTGTAAAAATATTAGGTACGGAAGAAAAATACACTACGTGTTGAGAATACGCACAACAGGAAAACAATGACGGTTGTAGGTGGGGCAGCGCGCTCTTTGAACTTTCAGATAAAGTCCTGTTGAGGATAGCGCGGTGGAACGCTACTACAATTAAATCCATCCGGACGAGACGTTGCATAATTTGTATTTTAAAAGCTTGGTGTTTTTTAAAATTAAACGTAGAAAAATTGAATTAAAAAAAATACATGTAAAGCCAATCTAGTAACTATTAGATAATCAAAAAAAATTCTTACCGTTCTTCGATAGTTCCATATTTTTATATTTCTTGGAATTGTTTAAGAACTTATGTAAATGGCATGTCTGATGGTTTTACTTAAAGGAATCACTCATTTACAGTTTTTGAAGAGGCAGGCCAGAAGATGGTGATCGAACACCGACACACATTTCATCAGTTTGATAACTGAAGATTAAATTTCTTCAGTTGTCAAAAAGGCTGTCGTCTCACAATCGCTACTCACACGTAGTTTTCAAACAGGCCACGACTTACTAAAAACTGTATGTGTATGTTGTTTTACGAGAGAAATTATAAACTGATGAATGTTTTATCCAAAATTCACTCAAATTGCACGAAACCGCACGAATCAACGTTATCAATTCTCGTCCTGGGTCTCCACGCTCACAATCGAGGGGCCCATGAACAGGACAAGAATTGGAACGCTGGAACGAACCCGATAACTATTTGTGTTTCGCACAATGGGCAGCAATGGGCCTGTCGTGAAGAAAAATATGCTCTCTGTTATATATAATTCTAGAAACAAAAAAGAAAAAAGGAGGGTTTTTTGGGTTAAAGATTAATTGCAAAAAAGAAATATTTTATCACACATGACACTAATAAAAAAGCTTAGAATTTCTAGTAATTACGATTTTTTATAATATATTTTGTTTGTCGTCATATTCTTTTCGTTTGAGGTCTCTATTTGCGTAGCATTTATCGTTAATTTTTCATGAAGATGGATGTGATTTATTGTTGAAAAGTAAAATTAAAATTATAAGTTGGCAATAAAGTTAGTTAGGTTTGTTGCTATGCGACGAGTTCTAGTTTTTTTTTTAGTTTAGTTTAGTTGTTCTTTATATATTTCATACTCAATCTTTTTCGTTTTGGTTTTCTGTATACGTAATACTTGTATAAAATATAACCTTGTGTTTTTACATTGCTGGGTTGAATAGTCTTTAATAGACTATTTCAATATTTATAAATTACAATCGATTAATATAAAATATTTTTATTTTCTTTCAGCTTTAATGTAAAATATGTATATTTTCAGATTCCAGAACATAATTTTATTTTTATTATTTAACTGTATAATTGGATTCTTATCTGTAGCCATATTTCGCTTTTATTGTTTTTCTGTGTTTTCTCGTACTTTGTGTGCCAACTTTTTCGCAGGGTATAAAAGTCTCTCGAGAACACCCGAAGTGTTTCTGAACAAGCCACTTAGATAGTGGCACTACGGTAATGTTGAGGTACTGTCAGTTGGTTTCTAAACGGTATTTGAGTGCACCCGGATGTGGTTTTTGAACGATGCTTAAAGATTTATGTCCTGATGCACCTTTTAAAATCAATGCAAACCGGTTTTTTTTTGCATCCTTTTCAAATACAGAGCAAATTTTTCAGTAAGCTTCTGATACAAGTTTGAATTCCTTGGACACAAGTTTAAATACGTAAAATAAATGTTAAAGTAGATTCTTTTCCGGGTTTTTTCTGATCCGTTCTCATCCGTCTCTGTCTCGCGTCGCTCGCGCCACACTGCGGGCTCAATTTGTAACCTGCAGTCGACTCTGTTATGTGCTTGCGCAAGCAACGTCGAGTTATCATAAGGCACTAGATATGTAGGTATTCTTATCCGCCATTTTGGTTCCTACTAGATGGAGAATTATAGCGTATATAGTATAGCTTAGTATAATATGGCGTACATGTGTAACATGTCAATTATTTGGTAAGAGACTAATAATTATTTTGATATTTTCGTAGAATTGAGGCAATCGAAACTTTAATTATGTCATTTATATTATACTCGTTATTGTGTGCATTGTGAAACATTGATATTAATTTTTTGCAGGTCTATTTTAAAGATTGTCAGAATTGTCAATGCAAATTGAAATGTCAAAATGCCTTGCTGCGTTGCAATTAATTGCAGCAACAGGTCCGAACAAGGATATAAACTGTTCAGATTCCCAGAGGGTTCCCGGGGAGTAACGTGGGTGGAAAATGTGCGGCGTGGAGATAAGTGGGCACCAACGGAGACTTCGCGCTTGTGTGAGGTACATTTACTGTTAAAATGTTTGTCGCTGTAAAACTAAGATGAAATATGTAACACTCCTCACATTTTTTCCAGAAACATTTTGAAGATTCACAATTTGAAGCCCGTCGAGCAGATGGTTGGAAGAAATTGAAGCCGAATGCCATCCCAACGTTATTCGATGTACCAAATCCGCCGTCCATCATCAATCCACTTCCGCGGAAATCACTGTGCAAGGTAATTTTATCGAACAAACTGACAGTAATCAGAGAGTAATAGCAAGGTTTTGCTTTTTCCAGAATCGTAACAATAATGTTGCTCCTGTCCTTTCCGCAACAACAGTAAACGAATTTGTACCGGCAGTTGAACATAATTATTCAATTCGACCTCAGGAAACACGGGATGAAGCAAGCAATTCTCGATCCATCGACGAAACATTAGCTTTATTTACTGAAAACCAGGCCATGAAAGAGAAGCTAGAAAGATGGCATGCTATTTTCAAATTGTATTCGTTTTACCCACAAGTTGCTGAATATTTGCATAAATACAATGTCAAATAATGTATTATTTTAATAATGCAAACGAATTGAAGTTATCAAAATGAAATCATGTGAATGTGTTTGTAAGATTGAAATTATAAATTTAAAATTGTATATATAAGATCATGAATTTTCAACTCACTGATCACTGAAATCAAAACAAAATGTGTAATCTTCTATATAATTTTCAGGCAATCAGAATTTATATATACCTAAAAATCAATTTTGTAATGGCTCAGAAATAATGAATTAAAAATGATTTTCAATATACTCTTATGTTTATTGAACAATATAAAACATAACATGTTGATATGTATACATATATATTATCTTAAACTAAGTTTATCTGTTTTCTTTGGAACAACATATGTACTACATAAGCACCTCAATAAATTGCACATTAACATGATGTACATTGCGCTGTTATCGATATCAGTTTACTTTGCGTGGACGATACTTTTGTCACAGCCGAATATCATGTAAAAGCTAATTCAATTTTTCCTTCGTTTGGCAGATGCAGTTCCAAAAATAATTTGTCGTTTTTTGCTGTTTTCTGAAAAGTTTTTTACACAGAAGAACGGACGGTAAAAAAATGTTTAACAATTTTTTCTTTCATATTGCAACACGTCGGAAAGACAATATCAATATTTTCCACCAAACGTTTAATCAAAGCAAAGTTACAATTTCTTAAAATGTAATTTTTGTATACTGTGAAAAAATGTTCGCAATGAAAGATCAAAGACAATGTTTGTAAACGAGGTTCTCTCAGGCCACCTTGATTCATTCCATTAGTGTAAGACTTTGCTTTATTGATAAACTCGATGTCGGGCAAATTTTTTGATGACAGAAATTCAAGACAGTCGGAACAAACATGCTTTGCAATAGCGTTTGTGGTGCTACCGGCTATATGAAATATAATAGTGGCATCATACTGGGACACAATTTGACTGAAATCGCTGAGAGAGAAAGTCTGCACTTGGAAATCGACAAGTGAGGACGTAATATTTACGACTGAAGTATCCACAGATTTATTAATGCAAGCAGAGGACCTTTCACGAGCAGTCTTCCTTTTCTTTTCACAAAAGTCTAACAAAAATTCATCAGATTCACTCATATAACTATTGCATTTTACCTCAGATACATATTGCGATATAGAGATAAGTCTAATCGCTTGCAAGGTTTTCAGTGCACTAGGCATAGATCCTTCTTTACGTCGAATTTGCGAAAAAATGTTCTCAGTTACATCTTGAGTAAATCGGTGCCCTAAGATAAAATCGAATCCATTTTTCATCAAGAATTCAGAAACATCGCAAAACGTCAAAGTTGCAATAACGAACCCGTAATTCAATGGCTTCCAGCCCTGTTTGAATACAGCATTTTGGAACAAATCAATAATCGTGTGCAGGAAAATAATTTCCGGTCACAGTTTCGCAAAGTGATCGAAGTTTTCCTAACTTTGGAGGACATGAGAGAAAACCACTGCTGTATTGTGAGAATAAACTGAGCAGTTGTTAGAGCTTCCAGAGGTAATATTCCATTTTGAACTGCAGTTTTCAATGCGCTTAAAGTTTTAAGGGAGAAAAATCGAATAGCTGCGCCAACGTTCATTTTTTCGAAAGTCGTAGGCTCAATATCTTCTGCTCGAAGATGATGTAGCAGGCGCTTTTCTAACCCTTTTGATATTTCATATTCCCACAATTTTTTAATATAAGACCCATCGACTATATGTGTTGGAAGTTTCTCTAACTCGACATACGCTTCAGGTAAATAAATGAGTTGCCTCAACATAGCAGCTTTCAAATTTTTTAGCGCATAACAAGCGTCTGGCATAGCGTATATTGGATAATTATTGAAAACAAAAAAATTGTTTATAGTCCCATGTCTCGAAGCCTGGATGTTCAAAGACGTCCATAACCCCCTGTTCCTACTGTCTAAATCTGACGAAAGTGCTAACAACATAAAGACCACATGATTCTACAGATGTGATGCAGTCGAGCATGAAATCTTTTAAAAGTTGGGGATCGATCGATGTTGTATGAGTTACATGACACGCAACAATTTGTTTCCACCGGTTTTTCACTCCTCGAACAACAACTGCAAATACTTTTTCGCCGAGATCATCAAGATTTTTACCCAAAGTTGCACGACCAAGAATTTACCAAGATTTTTATTGTAATCTTGTTGTTTGCTAATTTTGATTTCATCGTACGATAAGACACAGAATCTATCTGTTGGGTCCATAGTTTCAACTTTAAATTTAAGTAGTTGTAAAATGTCCTCAAAAATCCCGAAATCGAGTTTGAAGTCTTGTATTCGTCGCATAATTGTGGCATACGAGGGCAATGGATAACCAGTACCGCGAAGATATTGGTAGCCATGGACAGAGAGGGCAAATCTAAATTTGAGACCTCTTACAATACTATCATGAAACCATTTGGACACACGACCTTGTTCTAACATTTTTATTTGATCGTCATTTAAGAACGATCGTCTTGTTCTGCCCATGGCGTTTATTTGGTCACGTAATTTCAGGTTCTCTGCCAATAACTTTTTTAAATTTGTTCGTTCTGTCTGCAACTCTTGATTCTCACACCTCAGCCGTGCTAGCTCGTCTGCCTGCCGATTAATAAAAATAAAAAAAATGTTTCGAAGCATGGAAATCTTTAGAGTTACGCAGAGTGATGGAAAAAAAAGAATTAAAAAACCAATGTAACTTAACAATCAATTCCAATGGTAATAAAAAGTTTATTCGAAACAAAACTTTGATATGCTTTTTGAAATAGTACCCTCAAGAGTTATTAAGATTCATGACAAATTGGGCCTTGTCATTTATTATATTTTTTAACGACCATGTAACAACAAACATAATCGATGAATAATTCTTGAATTACCTCGCTTTCTGGGATTATCGATACATCTACTTGTACTGGCTCGGGATTGAGCTCTTGTCCTATCATATTATGGATTGTGTTTTCAGCATTAACCAAATTCTAAGATATTAGAACACAAATTATTAATATCTTCATACATGCATTCCGTTCTTCGCAATACTGTATTGCATATGAATGAAATTATGCAAATGTACCGGTTGTTGAAATATTATAGGTTCCGCTGTTTTCGAATGAACAGCCAATGTTTCGTCGATGGATCGAGAATTACTTGCTTCATTCCGTGTTTCCTGAGGTCGAATTGAATAATTATGTTCAACTGCCGGTACAAATTCGTTTACTGTTGCTTTGGAAGGGACAGGAGCAATATTATTGTTACGATTCTGGAAAAAGCAAAACCTTACTCTCTGATTACTGTCAGTTTGTTCGATAAAATTACCTTGCACAGTGATTTCCGCGGAAGTGGATTGATGATGGATGGCGGATTTGGTACATCGAATAACGTTGGGATGGCATTCGGCTTCAATTTCTTCCAACCATCTGCTCGACGGGCTTCAAATTGTGAATCTTCAAAATGTTTCTGGAAAAAATGTGAGGAGTGTTACATATTTCATCTTAGTTTTACAGCGACAAACATTTTAACAGTAATGTACCTCACACAAGCGCGAAGTCTCCGTTGGTGCCCACTTATCTCCACGCCGCACATTTTCCACCCACGTTACTCCCCGGGAACCCTCTGGGAATCTGAACAGTTTATATCCTTGTTCGGACCTGTTGCTGCAATTAATTGCAACGCAGCAAGGCATTTTGACATTTCAATTTGCATTGACAATTCTGACAATCTTTAAAATAGACCTGCAAAAATTAATATCAATGTTTCACAATGCACACAATAACGAGTATAATATAAATGACATAATTAAAGTTTCGATTGCCTCAATTCTACGAAAATATCAAAATAATTATTAGTCTCTTACCAAATAATTGACATGTTACACATGTACGCCATATTATACTAAGCTATACTATATACGCTATAATTCTCCATCTAGTAGGAACCAAAATGGCGGATAAGAATACCTACATATCTAGTGCCTTAGTTATCAGTGTATCTTCTTAATATATTATCTCTTTCTGTATTCATCAATTTATCACTCTTTCTATCACTCTTTCCTTCCACGGTGTGGTGATAACACCAAATTCATCGCACGAGACAATAATAAATAAGCACGAATCACGCTCACTCTTAATAGAGCTCATTTTAAGGAGTTAAAATATTTATTTAACTTAAACCTTAAACTTTACAACTTGAAAATGTGATGAAGTTTTGAAATAAAATAATGTATGTATTTTATGATAAAAAACAAATTCCTTGCACAACTAGTCATGATTGACATAAACAATTCCAAGAATTATGACTAATAAAAAATGGCAAAAAGTTTTTGGGGTTATCTAATATTTTGATTAACAAAAATAGTTTGAAACCTATTTATATAGTCATTTATTATGAATGTCGTTATTAAAACAATAATAACAAGAAACTATTTCTTTTAATTTAAATCCAAACTTGGATTTTAATAAAAATAAAATTTATTAAAAAAAGCTAACAGGAGTAAAAACTCCTACCATTTGTTAAAAAAAAAAGATTAAAGTCGTAGATTTATTATAAATGATAAAAGTTATCAACTTTTATTAATCTTTTATAATGAATTTTTTTAAATTTAATTATTTGTGGATTTACCATTATTTATTTTATGTAGCTATTTGAAAGACTTAAAGACAAGCAACCAAACTTTCGGGATCAAATCGTTGCTATAACGGGAGATTGTAGCCAGCCGAATCTCGGAATATCTTCGGAAGATCGGGCTACTCTCATTCGAGAAGTTTCCATTGTCTTTCATATCGCGGCAACAGTGAAATTTAATGAGAAGTTGAAATTAGCAGTTACAATTAATGTCGGAGGTACGAAAGACGTTCTAAATCTTTGCAAGGAAATCCATAATCTGAAGGTATTTAAATATATTTAAGAAACAAAAAATAATAAGAATTGCCTATAAGAAGCATCTTACAATTATTTCATGATTTATTATTTATTTATTTATTTATTATTATATATATATATATTTTTTTTCGTGATCTGTTTTTCGACATGTAATGTTCAAGTTTTCACTGAAACTAAACAATGAGGTCTGACTTCTCCATAAGAATGTCTTCTCGCCGCATGTGAATCCAATCAGAGATGATGGCAATTTTTGATTCATTACGACTAAGAATAGTTAATTATTGGCCATTTGATCTTGGATACCATCAATTGAAACACCGTACGAATATTGAAGACTTTGCGTACGAAGATAATTTGAGCGTTTTAATTCAGTCAAAAGCATTTTTCTTTTCTTTTAAAATTTTAATGTACGATTATTTTAATGTTGAAACCTGAAGAAGACCTGATATAGGTCGAAATGTTGTTTATTATATGTTTGTATAATACATAGGCACGATACATCCAGCACTGGCTGTTTTGCTTCTCTTGAACCTTTTTACCGTATTATTATATAATATTATTTATTATTTATGATTTATTATTTATTTATTATTTATTCAATCAAATGACTTTTCTCGGAAATTTAAAAGTTAAAATGTTATAGTAAAACAACGCGATTGATATTTTACTTGTTCAATTTTTTCAGTCATTTGTGTATGTATCAACCGCGTATGCAAACTGTCCACAAAACGTGATTGAAGAAAAATTTTACGACGCGCCAATGGATTCCGACAAATTACTCACTTTGATGAAATGCATGGAGGATAAATTAGTCGAGTATATAACACCGCAGTACGTGAATTTTTCTTTGTTTAAATTCTCGAAAAGAAAATCTTATTTTTTTATCTTTTACAGATTATTAGGAAAATGGCCAAATACCTATACCTTTACAAAAGCAGTAGCGGAGGATGTAATTAGGAAGCAGGCTGGTGACTTACCAATCGGCATTTTTCGTCCTGCTATTAGTTAGCTTAAGTTTAACATTTTTATTATAACATAAGCTAAAATTAATAAAAATTTTTTTAAAAAGTGTCAGCAAACAGGATACACAGTTTTAAAAATATTGAATTAGTATTTGGATAAAAATGATTAATTATGTTATTAATAATTAATGATTGTAAATATAGTAATTATCATCACACAATAGTAATTAATTATAATTAATAATAATAATACATACAGAAATTTGATAAATCTTAAGTTGAAAATTATGGATTATTATCTTGTTACTTTTAGTAATTTCAACGTATCGGGAACCTATAGAAGGTTGGATTGACAATTTATACGGTCCAACGGGAATTGCTGTTGGTGCTAATATTGGATTGTTGCGACTGGTTCATTGCGATGATTCGATATCCATAAATGCGGTACCCGCTGATTTAGTAATCAACGCTCTTATTGCGTGCGCATGGGATACAGCTAATATAAGGTACATTTATTATTGTCATTTTCGATCGATGTAATTAAATATTATCAAATATAAATTAATCTCAATGCTTGAAAATGCAACTCGGCATTTGACATTCCGACAAAAGTGTCATTAGACATATGATTTTAATATTCATATACGTCTTCATATACGTGATTAGGAAGCAGGCTGGTGACTGGCTGATCGGTATTTTTCGTCCTGCCATTAATTAGCATACGTTTCATTTTATTATAACATAAGCTAAAATTTTTAGTTTATGTTATAATTTTCATTATAACATAAACTAACAATAATAAAAAATTTTTTAAAAAAGTGTCAGTAAACAGGATACACAGTTTTAAAAATATTGAATTATTATATGGGTAAAAATAGCGTATCTTCGTATACAAATTAATTTTGACAGCGTTAAAAACGGTTTTTTGAGAGATTATATTTGTTTAATATATTTTTGCGTTTCTATTTGTATTCACCTATTTTAATGTATAACTAACAGTAATTAATTTAGTTTAAGAAATTTTACTACATTTGTAAACATGGTGATGTCATCTCGTAATGTCATTGTTTCAGATTAAACAACGATTTATCTAGTAACATTCCGATTTATAATTACGTGTCTAAGGACAACCCGATAATCTATAATGATCTGAAGAAATTCTCGGAAAAGGAGCTTTCCGAATTTCCCTCTAACAAAGCAATTTGGTATTACAGTCTCAGATGCACGAAGTACAGATTTGTTTATCTTTTTTTGATATATTTCTGCCACTTATTCCCAGCTTTGCTGGTCGACATCTATATTTTTGGTCTGGGAAAGAAACCGAGGTAATAATCAAATCAAATCAAAGATTTGACATAAAAAAATCTATAGGATTTTTGCATATTCAATATATTCTCAAAGCAATTTTTTATTAAGAACAGTTACATATATTTATTACACTATGAGAGAAAATTAATTCCATTAATGCTAATATTTATAGCAAGTAAAATAAAATGAGTGTTTTTTTATACATTAGAATTTGTTTAAATTTTTCAAATCAATCAAACAGTATTGAATCATTTAGAATAATTTAGAGCAATTTAAGATAATTACATGGAAAAGTAAATTATTTTTAAATATAATACATATTAATAATTGTTTATTTAACATTTGTTTATTATGGATTGTTTATTAAAGACTACTTCAGTATTACAAAAGGATACACACATCCATAGATATGTTGAACTATTTCTCCATGCAAGAATGGATATTTACTAATGATCGAGTACGTGCAATGATTGCAAAGTTAACGTTCAATGATCGTAAAAACTTTGATTGCAATATGAAGAATCTCAATTGGAAAGTTTATTCCAAGACATACGTGCGCGGAATGAGAGTGCATCTCATTAAGGATCCTCTGCACACTTTGCCGCAAGCACGCGCTAAATGGCGAAGGTATGAGATTTTCAAAATTTTTCAAAAAACTACGCGAAAGTTTATCTTTACTCATATACTCGATAATAAACTAAAAAATAACCGTTTAGTTTTTATTTGCTTTTATGAAAATTTATATACATTTATTTCCGAATTGCAATTATGACAAAAATTCGTAAAAATATTACAAAATTTTTAATGTCCAATTTGAACAAAATTTAAACCATATATTTAAAACTTTATTTTACTGCGTTTCTTCATAAATAGGAAGTAATATTAAATATAGTACTTTATATTTAATCTTTTATTATCTAATTAAAAAAAATATATACCTTAATTTGTGGATTATTCATATTACAGATTATATTGGTGGCATCAAGCGTTAAAACTCATGTTGACTTTGATCGGCATGACGTTCAGCTGGTTGGTTATATCTATGGTCTTAAAGTGTTTCAAGGAAAACATGTGACGCAGGAACAGTACAAGTAGTAGATAAAATCTACAATCCAAAATATGCGTTTTGAAAATGTGGGAATAAACAGTAGAAATTAATATTTTATTTTTAAGAAAAAAGTACGACTAGATTCTCTCGCAGAGAATTGAATTAAAAATAATTGTCATAATTATATGTATAAACCAGAAATTTAAGCAACGGGTTTTGATATACACATGTTAAAAAAAATACACCAGAAAAATATAAATATGCAATTAATCAGATTTTATTAGTAGAGTAATACAAAAGATTCTGAATTTTTTATCCCGAATAATATTACAAATCTTTAATTGACAATTCAATTAATTTAAAATCAAATTTCTTCAGTACAGCGCATTGTTTCAAAAATATAAATATAGATTTATGCCATTTGTTTATTATGTAAATATTAATTTAGTTTTATTTGATAACAGTTTTTCTGCTTAAAACTATTGCGATAATATCTTCTTCGAGATAAAATCGATATCGTACATCAGTTATATCATCAAAACAGGGTGTGGATAATAAATTTTACATTTTTATTTATACGTCTTTATTTTATGTGATAAAACAGAATTTACATCATAAATTTACTTAAAAAAATCAAAATGCTGTAATTTTAGCAAATAAATATTGAAATAATCACGTAGATTATTCAAAATTGTTCCTTGTTAAATTAAAAAATTTTGGTAAGTTTTTCATGAATTTTGTTTACCGAGTCTTAATTATTTTTATTTTTATAAATATAATATATCAGTTTTTTACGAGGGTCAATTAAATATAAACTGAACTTTTTTTCTATTGCTGAACGAGCTAACATTCGCGGCTAAGATCGAGTGGAGATATTAGTGGACGTGTTTAGACTCTTTCCTTACACATCACCATCAGTAAGCAGCAACTTAACAAACTGCTGATTTTGTTTCCGGAGCTAGAGGCCTCCGAGCCTAAACCGATTAGCGTTATGTGGACTTCCGAGACTTTGCGACAATCTTCAACCAGTAAGTTCCTCTGTCAAAATTTTTTTTCTTTTATACATTCTTGTATACATTCCCCCTCCTCCTCGAGTTATACAACCAGATTCAGTTCAGTTTTTTTTTTCTTCATTATAGTAAACTACGATTCCAGTTCAACTTTTCTACCCGACCGCTGTTTATGCCCGGCTCGATCTCGAGTAATTCAAACATTGAGACATTTGTTATTTATCTCCGGATTAACATCGCTCGCGTCACCGTATTTTAGATTTAGAATTGACCGCCTCCGTCGCTCCACTCGTCATTCCGCAACACCCATCACACATACACACACAAACTATCGACACAAGTCACAAATAACCGACATGACATACAGTCTCCTCCGCCCCCCCCGCATCATGACTTCAGTCCTTCTTTCCAGTTCCTTCAGTAGAGTTTCTCGAACAAATAATCCCTGTACCTGTTTTTCCTGAGCCTAGGGTTCCATCCCCAAATCAACCCTTCCCCGATTATGTCGATCGGGTAATAGAATCTTCTTCCTAACGAACTCCTCTTTTCAGACTTTCATTTGACACCCACTCGCCGCAATTCACCTATAAGATATTCCACTTTATCTCCACCTTCCTCCCTTTCCCCGCTACCTCCAGAATATCAGTACCATGTAAATTACTTTAGTCCCCACGAAGAGTAACACACACACACACATAACACTCACACTTGTAGTTGTAACTTTACTTACAGATTGTTAACATTAATGATAAGTTATATTTTTCGTTTGTGTTACGTTATAATCACCTATGAGTATATATTCAGAATTTGTATTGATTTTTATAAGTTTAAAAAATTAATTAATATGATAAACCTGATTAAGTTACGTATTTATAGCCTCATTACCACATGTATCAATAAACTTAGAAATTATGTTCTTTTTGATTAAATGTACTTTAAATCTTATATTGGGACTTTCATTTTAATTAATACCAACACCTCGTTTTCATCCCTCCTTTAAGGGTTTGCGCTGGTTTCGTCCCTGGTAATTGAGATCTCTATCTCAGACCAAAGGGAACCATCCGAACGGCGATACTGAATAACAAAGTAAGAGCGACCTTCAGCCGTTGACTCGTTTTTCAGATCCAAATAAACCGTTCGGGCCACTGGCTCAGACCCTTGAAATCTGATCGGCGATACGCGACTGTTACTATCTTCCTGACCTCTCCAACTCAGGACGTAACACTATATAAAAATATATATTGTATAGTGACAGATTTGGCGTTTTGTTTGCAATGATTTTCGTTATCGCGAAAATGACACGTACACCTTCGTACAATTTACTTGAATATGCAACAAGTATGTATATTTATGAGCAATTTTCGGCGTCACTAAGAAGATGATCCTTCAGTCTTTAGAATACCGTTATCTATTTTCTACCCATGAGTATTATTGCCACCAAGGATAACCATATACAAAATGTCTTACAATTAGAATTTTTTATTTTTTGGATATCTAATAAAGCGCACTTATATATAATTATATATAATACTTAAGAAATGCATTATTTATGTTAAATTATTAGTTCGGCACATCGGCGATTGCCAATAGTGAAAAATTGCTTAAAATATGATATCAATATAATATAATAAAAACAACGCTTATAATATGATATCATTAAGATAGAAACAAGTTTTAATTCATTTATGATAGCTCTGCTTTTCGACCGTCCATATAAACAATTAAACGCAAATATTAATATTACCTTTCCTACTACTTTTGATATTTAAAACTTTTTGACATAAGCATACAAACATTCAAAATATTTTACTCCATATTATTTTATTCTTGACAAAAATTTTTTTGCAAGTTACATTACACTTTCCTAGATATATTTTGTATTTCGGAGCCGATTCTGTTCTCATCGACTATAAGGCACTTCTAGTTGTAAAGCAACTTTCTATAACTTTTTTATTGAAAATTAAAGAAGACAAATATCTGGTCCAACAAAAATTTGCAGTGTAAGAAGGAATAATTAAATTAAATAAATATTATTTAACAAATATAATAGAAGGGGCATCCAGAGCCATCGCAGGATGTTAGTGCAACATTTTTAATTTAATATTATTCAAATATTATTTAAACCGACGCAAACCGATTAGTCCCAAGTTTTTGACTTTTTTTGCGTGCTCGTATATTCGTTTTTTATTTTTTTTTTGAACAGCATCAACTAATCGCTTTTCTCTCAAATTAACTTTCGCAAACTCAAGTACCTAGGACAAATTATTTCGACAATATCAATAAACATAAAATTTTTGCGGAGTACAGTTTATGAGTGCATTAGTTGCTGTGTTAATGGTAATCGGATAGGATATATCATGTACAAAAAAATCAAATAAAAGTAAAATAAAAAGCTCAATATTAAGTAATTAAGAAATGAGTGTTATTTAAGTCAGAAAAATATACCTTAGCCAATTGCTCTGCAGCATGTTGATGCGTAATAATAACAATTAATGTTGCAATTATGTCGGCTTGCCTGCGAAAAAGTAAAGTGATAAACATTATTATTCAAAAAGGCAATAAGCATAAAAAAGACGCGGGTGGATAAAAATTATAATTATAAAAAATATAAGAAATATAATAAATTTAAAAAATATGTATGTATATGTATATATATATATATATATACCGGGTGTTTCAGACTACCCGTCCCAACCTTTTAAAACGTAGGGATGTGCTTGTACAAAAAAATGGCTCAGACAAAATTTGCATGATTTCGAGGGATCTATCTGAGGGTGACCTTGACTTTGACCTCGCAGTTGATTTTCAAGGTCATTTGAAGGTCAGAGTAATTTTTTTAATGGAACCCCTATTTTTATTCCAAAATTTAATAGCTGGTGTCAAGAGCTTTTCAAAAACACTAAAACATGCAACTGCATACTTTTTTTTAAAACCAATGTGTTTTCTTTATACCAATTGATTCGTCTCATTATTTTATG